CAGCATGATCACCTCAAAGAAGAGTGCACCGTCGACAATTGACCGGCACAGCTGGAGGATATCATCACCTACGCTATAAAACACCGCTCTGCCGTCGTCATCGAGAGCGAGAAGCTCGATATACTGCTACTCCACGCGGAAATGAGGTATGAACATCACCGCCAGATCTCGTGTACCCATTCCGGTCGCCGACCACCCGCTTCTCGTGGTGTAGAACGCATTTGTCAGCTGCTCCATCGTCTGTATTCCTCGGAAACATCATTCGCTGAGGTTAACGCTCGGTTAGCAGCGGCATTTGACAATCTTAAGCCGTCCACCGTGCAAGGGTGCATTCGTAAGGCTGACCATACGCTAGAAGACATTTACAAGGTTGTATTTCAAGCGGAGGATAACGACGAAGATAGTGATGGAAGTGCCGAGTCCGACATAGATAGTAGTTAAATTGTAGCTCTGATGCTGAGGAGGACTAAATGACTGATGACGCCGGTTTTTGTGCGCATCATACTGTGTTTGTGCTGCTTCTTCATATTTTTTTGTTTTGAATAAGAGAATCCTGGTTAAAACAGAAATCTGCCTGAATAAGGAGCGGGGTTTCAACTAATAACCTCGTAATATTTATAGTCGTGAAAGATTTAGGGATATGGGATAGTGAGTGGCAAGGACTGACAAAACAATCTAGGGACTGACTTCGATTTCAATTTAAAGAATGGCGCACAGTAGGTGATCCTCCTTCGCTTCAAGCCCTACGAGCCGAACTTCATTCCTACATTTACATTCAAGCTCACTAGCCGACTGCGTCCTCAGCACCCCCATGTCCTCCAATCGTCTCCGCCTCACCTGGTCCGAGAAGGTAGCCATCCTCGAGAAGACTGCTCGCTCACCTAGTCTGTCGTATAATGAGCTAGCTAGTGGACGGTTGAAGAGTTTGGGCCTCCAACGGCCCCTGGCAAAACGACAATGTGCCTTATACTCAAATCAAGTGCTGTGCTGCGCGGACGGCCTGTGGAGAAGGTTGTACGGAAGAAGGAGCAGAGGTTGGTCTCTCTCTAAGCAACGTCCGTGTTGAGGAAATCATCAATAGCATTTAACGCTACATCTTATCGCAAAAAATAATGCTCGCATCGGATCGCCTAGGCGAAGGCCTCGACAACTAACTGCACTGCTCTGGTGCGAGGCTGCATGGTCTAAAGTTAGCGCTGCCAGGATTCAGCACTGCTGGAATCACTCTGGTCTCATTCAAAAGTTGAATCTTTAATATATTCTAACTTAATTCAATACATGCGCATGATCCGATATCATAGTCTTTTTTTAGCGAGGCATTGTCAGCTTTTGCAATCTCTTTCTTAATTTATATCAGGCGTTCCTTAATTACTTTTATCAGGACCCTTCTTTGGTGACCCATGAGATTTGTCAAAACCTCTCATGTATGATATCAAATCGTAATTAAAGATCATCATGGAGAATAATTCAAGTAACAGGGGGCCAAACTCAGTCAAATTCAATACCCTTCTCTACCTGCTATGGATAGATTCATTACTTTTCATATCACACGAGTCCTAATCTTGAAATCGAGTGACTCAGTTTTTGCGTCGCAAAATATTTAAGATTGGTGTATTTTTTTTTCTCTCGAATTTGTGACATCAAAAAGAGGACTTCTTCTCACACATACCGATATTATATTACTCGTAGCACATTACTGTAATATTTCCGAGCAGACCTACTTCGCCTCTACGGTAGTACTTTGCATTCTCCTGTTGATTTTCTCCATACATGCGAACTTCCCCAAGCTACCCGAACCTTTCTTCTCTTGAGCTGCAAGAAAGCGAGAGATTCTCTGCGCCATTAACTGGGACGGATACTCGATAGCATAATATGACGCGGTTGCCAATGCAATCACCAAGAACAACCGAGCGAAGAAGCGGTTGAAATAGTTGGGCTGGTGGCTGATCGCAGGGTATTTTATCACAAAAGTATGCAGCAGATAGATAGAAAAGCTGATCTTGCCCCAGAACCGTAACACACTCCACTCCAACATTGCAGACACAAACGACGGTTGAAGGATCTCGATCACAATAATCGACGCCACATAGACACTGATAAACGGGAATCCTTCAGGTGGAGGCGCCGGGTTTGCCATGACCCAGTCGAACAGAAGGCCACGGAAGAGCACACTCAACATCAGAGCAATGAGGAGAAACTCTACTGCTCGAAGTAGCACCGTGTGCCACAAGCGGAACTTGAACTCCGTCTTCCTAATCCACAAATCGATCTTCACAAATACCACGGCTGCCAGTGACCCAAGCATGAACGTGTGGAGATGGAGGCTAAGTGGCGTGTGGCTGTTGCGAACCAGCGTCCAACCTTCGTGTACAATCCATACGAATAGGGGAACTGCTCCAACCCACCAGTAACGACGCAGACGTAGTACTACCAGTACGAATACGGGGATAATAAAGTAGTACTCAATCTCCAGCGGTAACGTCCAGAACACGTGATAACGATGTTCGTATTCGAACGTCAGCGTCTCGTACAGTGGGACCTGGTTGGGTTTCCTCACAATAAAGTAGCGATGCTGGTTCTCAAATGATAGAAAATGAAGCACGACCGCAGTCACTGCGAACAGTGGGTAGACTCGGAAGAACCGCTTCTGGAAGTAGTCAAGCAATGCGAATACCCACGTACGAACACTAGCACCTTGCGCGAGTAGCGTCATACTTTTCTTCATAAACAACCAAGTTAATAGGAACGACGACAGAATGAAGAACACGTCGACAGCGACAGATCCGAGATGAAGCGACGGGACGAACTCATGCGAGTGTTGTACAACCACCAGCATGGCTGCGAGTCCACGGAGGCCATCGAGAAACAGAACCTTCGTCTGTGGCTGTGGGGGTGTCGGCTTTGATTCCGGGAGCTCTTCAACGGAAGATTTTGTGCTGGAAGTGGCTTGGTCCTCCAAGGTCTGTTCCTCCGATTACGTCGAGAACGTCAAATGTCCCTACCTTCTTTAAGCTCATTATCTTGTTGAACGAATTCTCCTCGTGGGCGGTGCACGGGATTCTTTAGTTGGGTTCTCTAGCGGTGGCTATCCCCCCATGTCGTGTAACATATTGCCGCCGGGGGGGCCAACTT